TAAGAAGGCTGCATAGCATCAGGGAGGCTAAAAAGGAGTTAGATAGCTGGTTCCAAGTGTAGTCTGCAGTGGACCCACATCCCATGGCCAAACAACCAAAAACTCTCCCACTGGCACTCACAGAAGGGAGCCAATAATACAAAAGAATGGAAGCTTGCAACGGCAAGGACTTGCAGGAGGAAGAGACGTTCTTCAAAGCCTGAGGTGCCCCTGCATAACTGCTTCACTGCTCTGCAGACTGAAGAGGAAAGTACTGTCACATGAGGAGTCACTGGAGCTGAGTAAGGCAGCCTGGTCTGCTCCTCATGTAACAGCTAGTGCAACTAAGAAAAGGCGATGGGTGATAGTAGTAGGTGACTCTCTTCCAAGAGGTACAGAGGCACCATCTGCCAACCCGACATCTTCTCTAGACAGGTGTGCTGCTTACCTGGGGATTGTATCAAGGATGTAACCAAGAGACTACTGAGCCTCTTGTTTCACATGAGCACCAATGATGCAGCCAGGAGCAGTCTGAGGAGTATCAAGAGGGATTACAGAGCCCTGAGAGCAGCAGTAAGGGCTGGAGAGCAGGTAGTTTTTTCACCAATCTTCCAGTCAAAGAGAAGGGGTTCGAAAGGGCCAGTTCAATATGGTGAATCAACAATTACTTATGGGACTGATGCCACAGCCAGGGGTTTGGCTACTTAGACTATGGGACTCATTTTGAGAAACCTGGTCTACTGGAGGCTGATGGGTTCCAACTGTTGGAGAAGGGGAAGAGCATCTTCGGCCATAGGCTTGCCAAGCTGATAAGGAAGGTTTTAAACTAAAGCTGCTGGGGGAGGGGAACCACAATCCATCCCACTCCTACCAGTTGGATGCCAGTGCCAGCAGTAGATGCTCAGAGCCTGGAGAGAGATCACAAGTCATCAGGAGAGCACCTGAAGAGCAGCAGAAAGGAATTCCAGCCAGTGATTCAGCTTCACTGGGGGCCCAACTTCAGTGCCTCTATGCAAACACACGTAGCATGAGGAATAAACAAGAGGAGTTAGAGACATGCGCACGCCTGCAGTGCTACGATCTTACTGGCATCACAGAGATGTGGTGGGATGGCTTCTATGCCTGGAGTGTTGGAATGGAAGGATAGAGGCTCTTTAGGAAGGACAGGCAGGGGAAATGAGGAGCGGGTGTTGCACTCTATAAACAGATAGGAGCAGCCTCACGCTCAAAATCCTTGGCCCTCATGAGGGACTTCAGTCTGTTGGAGGGACAACACAGCAGGGCACGACCAATCCACGAGATTCCTGGAATACACTGATGACAATTTCCTTCTCCGAGTGGTAGAGAAGCAAAAGAGGAGAGGTGTTATGCTGGACCTTGTTCTCACCGGCAAGGAGGGGCTGATGGGAAATCTGAAGCTCAGGGGCAGCAGTGACCATAAAATGGTGGAGTTCAAGATCCTTAGGGCAGCGAGGAGGGTGTGCCGTGAGCTTGCTACCCTAGACTTCAGGAGAGCAGCCTTTGGCCTCTTCAGGAATCTGCTTGGTAGATAAAGCTCTGGAGGGAAGAAGGGCTCAAGAAATTTGGTTAATATTCAAGGATCACCTCTAAGCTCAGGAACGATTCATCCTGACAATGAGGAAGTCAGGTAAAAATGCCAGAAGGCCTGCATGGATGAACAAGATGCTCCTGGACAAACTCAAACACAAAGGAAGCCTACAAAGGGTGGAAGCAAGGACAGATAGCCTGGGAAGAACATAGAGAAACTGTCCAAGTAGCCAGGTATCAGGTTAGAAAGGCCAAATCCCTAATAGAATTAAATCTGGCCAGTGACATCAAGGGCAACAAGAAAAACTTCTATAGGTATGTCAGTGATAAAGGGAAGACTGGGGAAAATGTGAGCCCTCTGTGGAAGGAAATGGGAATCACGGTTACACGGGATATGGAGGTGGCTGAGGTACTCATCGACTTTTTTGCCTGTATTCACTGGCAAGGGCTCCAGCCACACCGCCCAAGATGCAAAAGGCAAAGGCAAGGACTGGGAAAATGAAGAACTGCCCACTGTAGGAGAATATCAAGTTCAAAACCATCTAAGGAACCTGAAGGTGCACAAGTCCACTGGACCTGATGAGATGCATCCACAGGTCCTGAGGGAACTGGCAGATGAAACATCTAAGCCACTACCCATCATATTTGAGAAATCGTGGCAGTCCAGTGAAGTTCCCGCTGACCAGAGAAGGGGAAACATAACCCCCATTTTTAAAAAGGGAAAAAAAGGAAGACCCAGGGAACTACAGGCCAGGTAGTCTCCCCTCTGCACCTGACAAGATCATGGAGTGGATCCTCCTGGAAACTAAGCTAGGGCACATGGAAAAGAAGGAGGTGATTGGTGACAGCCAACATTGCTTCACTAAGGGCAAACTGACCTGACAAATTTAATGGCCTTCTACAATTGTGTTACAGTTCTGGTGGACAAGGGAAGAGCCACTGACATCATCTACCTGGACTTGTGCAAAGCATTTGACACTGTCTTGCACAACACCCTTGTCTCTAAATTAGAGATACGGATTTGACAGATGGACCACTCAGTGGATAAGGAATTGGCTGGATGGTCATCCTCAGGCAAGTTGTAGTCAATGGCTCAGTGTCCAAGTGGAGACCAGTGACGAGTGGCATTCCTCAGGTGTTAGTACTGTGACTGGTGCTGCTTAACATCTTTGCTGGGGACATGGACAGTGGGATTGAGTGCAACCTCAGCAAGTCTGCTGATGACACCAAACTGTGTGGTGCGGTTAACACACTGGAGGGAAGGGATGCCACCCAGAGGGACCTGGACAGGCTTGAGAGGTGGGTCCATGCAAACCTCATGTATTTCAACAAGGCCAAGTGCCAGGTCCTGCATGTGGGTCAAGGAAATCCCAAGCACAAATACAGGCTGGGTGATGAGTAAATTGAGAGCAGCCCTGTGGAAAAGGGCTTTAGGTTATTAGCAGATGAAAAAATGAACATGAGGCAGCAATGTGGGCTGGCAGCCCAGAAAGCCAAACACATGCTGGGCTGCATCAAGAGAAGCACGGCCAGCAGGTCAAGGGAACGGATTCTTCCCCTTTACTCCTCTCTCATGAGACCCCCCCCTGCAGTGCTGTGTCCAGCTCTGGGGTCCCCAACATAAGGAGGACACGGACCTTCTCGAGTGGGTCCAGAGGAGGGCCATGAAGATGATCAGGGGGTTGAAGCACCTCTCCTGTGAGGACAGGCTGAGAGAGTTGGGGTTGTTCAGCCTAGAGAAGAGAAAGCTCTGGTGAGACCTTAGAGCAGCCTTCCAGTACTTGAAGGGGGCTACAGGAAAAATGGGGAGGGATTCTTTATCAGGGAATACAGTGGTAGGACAAGGGATAATGGTTTTGAACTGAAAGAGGGTAGCTTAGATTAGAAATAGGGAAGAAATTCTTTACTGTGAGGGTGGTGATACCTTGGAACAGGTTGTCCAGAGGAGCTGTGTCTGCCCCCTCCCTGGAATGGTTCAAGGGCAGGCTGGACGGGGTTTTGAGCAACCTGGTCTTAGTGGAAGGTGTCCCTGCCCCTGGCAGGGGGGTTGGAATGAGATGTTGTTTAAGGACTCTTCCTACCCAAACCATTCTATGATTCTGTGATTCTATGAACTATTTAACTATTCAAGTTTGGGAACCTGCCTGGGATGGGAGATATCTGTATTCAAACCTTCCTCTGATAAACTTATAGTCAACCCTTCTATTATTAGTTTGTCTCAATTACTCCAACCTCAAAAATGAGGACAACAGAAGTTTTCCACTCTACAGCAGGTGTTGTGAAAAGAATGACATTACACGTTTTCAGATGTTCACATACCATACAAATAGAGCTATTTTACTAATGGGAATAGTTACTATATAAAAATTGTAAGGCCAAGGACTCTGATAAAATATCACCCCTTAGGTGTAGTAGAAAGCTTGATATACAGATGTTTTCAGAAGTTATCCTCAAATTTTGTTAGGTATTTTCAGCAGTAACCTCTCCCACTTGCAGTTTTGTAAGTCAGCACTATTCTAATTGCACAAAAGGGCAACTATAAACAGCTTTGTTACTGCATTACAAATTATTAGCTTACATTAAATACTTCCAAAACAATACGTCACAAAAGTTCAACTTTCTTTGGAAGTTTCCATGGAGCCCTTTAGAAAGCAAAAGAGCTTTAAAAAGCCCTCATTTGAAAAAAAAAAAAAAGCAACAAAAAAATTGGCTGAAACACTGCCTCACTGTGAAAGTGGTTTTTAACCACAACTAAGTCATGTAACTAAAGAAAGTAGCTTTTAAAATTCTGTAAGTCTCATGTCCTTCTACGATTAATTTGAATACAAGATTGCAAACTATATGCTGATATTTATTCACAAAAGAAGAATGAACAAGAAACAATGGGGTTCACCTAACCAAATCTGCGCCTTCCTCATCCAGCTGCAGGGACAAGTTTCCTGCCTTTGTTGACAGAAGCCCACTCTCGGAGCAGATGCTCGAGCCGCCTCCTCAGAGCGCCACGGACCTCGCCCGCGGTGCCCGCGGCTCCTGCCGAGCAGCTTCCAGCTTTGTTTCAAAACGCAGAAGCCGATTAACCGGCTGATGCGTTCAGCACAGCCGGCGGCCTGCCGGCGACAGTCCTGTCGTCCCCGGCTTCAACTCCGCCGCGCCCGGCGCGGGGGTAACCCACCCACCCACCCACCCACCCTGCGCCTCGCACCGCCGGACTCTGAACCCCCGAGGCGGCGGCGGCTGCCGCCCCTCCTCCGGAGCACAGGAAACACTCCGCACCGGCAGAACACTCCCACGCCCTCGGAGCCGCCGCCAGCCGCGGCCCCGGCAGCGCCCGGCGGCGGCAGGCCCGGTGCAGGCCGTGCGCCCCCCTCGAAGCCGCTGAGGGGACGCTGCGAACGCCCTTCCCCCGCCGCGGCAGGTGCGCGCACACCCGCCCCGCCCCGCCCCTCCGCGCCGCGCCGCGCCGCTCCACTCACCGCCGCCGCGCCGCCAGGCCAGCCGCCCCCGCTCCTCGTCTAAGGTGACCTCGCAGCCGCGCTGCCCCAGCCCCAGAGACGAGACCAGCCGAGGCCGCCGGCCGCCCGGGAGCCGCTCCATGGCCGCCGCAGAGCCCGGGCCCGCCGCAGCCCGCTGCCGCACGGCCCAGCCGAGCGGGCGGCCGCCGCGGGGCGAGCCCGGCACCTAACGGCGCCCCCGGCCCGCCGCTACCCGGCCTGGCCGCCGGGCGGGGCGGGGCGCGGCGTCAGCGCCTACGCCAGCGCCGCCGGGGCGGGGCCTGCGGAGCCCGCGGCTCCCCGGGGCGGCGGGTCCCGGAGGCGGCCCCCGGGCCGGACACACACAGGCACACATACACACATACACACACACACACACACACACACACACACACGCCCGGGGCTCCGGGGCGCGGAGCCCGCCCGTCCCCCTCCGGGCCGGACACACACACACACACACACACACACACACACACACACACACACACGAGCCCGCCCGTCCCCCTCCGCTTTGTCCTCTCACGCCGCTGGCGGAGGCTCGCCCGGCCTGAGCCACCCGCACCGGGGAAATGCCGGCGCCGCGGGCAGGGCTCCCTGCAGAGGAACCGGGGTTGGCACCGTAACGCGTGCGGATTGTTTTGGCGAAGACCGAGTGCCCGTCACGGTGACGACGGACTCTTCCCTTCTTCAGACCGAGAAAATGTGATGAATACATCTGCCACAAACATCTAGTGCCACAAACCTCTCGATATAGCCTTGCCATCTTTTCCATAAAAAAAAAAAAAAAAGAATTTAGGGGTTTGCCTTAAGGATGTAACAATAATTCACTACAATGGAACTCTTTAATTCTTTGCTGCCTTTCAGGTCCTCCATGGTGTTCCTGAACCTTATAAGCACCAGCGTCCTACCCAAATTACAGGCTGGAGTGAGCGGCAGTTGCTCTGGCTCTGACCTTACTTCAAACCTACTGGTTCTGAATACTTCCTGTAGAGGTTAGAGAAAAATGTCACTGCTCTGCTCTTACACAGGTCCAGCGCAGGGCCCATTCTCTGCTTCATGAGGATGACGCAGACACTCCAGCTGCCTTTGTCCGAGCCAGCACAGGGCTAAAAGGCCTCGGCACTTGAGCTCTGCTCTGAACCTTGCAGTGTACTCACATTTGATTTTCTGAAAACAAATGAGTTAGGCACTGTCATCCAAGTTAGGTGTTCAGGACAGTCTTCTGGGGTCATGAATACTTGTCATCTTCTGTCTCGATTATTGCAACGTTCTTTCCTCTGACCTTGAAAGACATGATGTTGCCACCTTTCTTGTTGAAAGTACCTGGGTATGCTATACTTCTTGTATTGCCCTTTAAACATTTTTTAGTCCATCCCTCCACAAACACCTGTAAATCTTTTTATATTGAGGCTTAAAGTTTGTTTGTTGCAAAAGTCTGTTGTGAGCATCAGTCTGCCAAACCCACTGCTGAGCAGTCATTAGCGTCTCACTGCTTCTTTGCATTTTGCCAGCTACATCATCTGTTATCATCCCTCTTACACTTGGTTGGTAAGATCCCCGGGCCAAGAACATCCTGTTTGTTTCAGGTTGTACGATATCCAGCACATTTAATTTCCATTATTTCTAACCACTTCTGCAAGCCAGAACAGCTGTGTGGAAACCACAGCCTAATGCTGATGCTCACAGTGCAAGAGACATTCACTGTTGACTGCTTCAGACATGTTTCAGGGGCGAGTGGATCACCAATATAAATCTGTATTCTTACAAATTTTACACAGGGGTAGTTATTTATCATTTCTCCACTGGGTAAATTAGATCTAATCTTTTATAGTCTACAGTCACCTGAATCAATATTCTTATGCTATGATCCATGCTAGCTGAAGAAGCAAAAAGTTCATTCTTTTTACCACTCTTGCCTATGATTATTCCCTTTTATTATTAATTTGACAACTCTTTTTAGCTTACTTAAGGCTAAAGCCTTCCACTGTAAAGCACAGAATTGATAAAATATTCTCTGGTCTGTTAGAAGCCTGCAAAGGTGTACTAGCACCACTACTAGGAATGGCATTCCCCATCCCCACTTCTTATTTGTTTAGATAAGGAGAAACCACTTACTTCTTCCTTGCGTGTGGTGTTTCCTTGCATAACAGTGTTTTGAGCCATGGTTTGGACCATGCTGCTACACGAATGTCTTGCAGGAATTCCTACTGGTGCTGTGTTTGGTTTGCTCTGTCACTCTGGTAGTCCCCTGACTACCAACATGTGCTTCTGCCCTCGAAATTAAAGGTCAAATTTCAGCCAACACAATATTTTTTTTCAGTCAGTATTTTATGATTTTCTTCCCTGACTCTAACAGAGGAAGAATTTCTAAAGGGTGACTGACTTGGTAGGCTAAAGCACACACATGTCAATTATTGGTTTACTGCTTATTACATAAGCCTTTAATTACCACCAAGGGGACAGAACTGCAGATGTAGCAACGCCAGTAAACTGCAGGATGTATAGCCTAAAATCTTGGTGCTAAAGACAGCTCATCACAGGACTCCACTCTGAGAAATGTCGTGGTTGTAAAAGCACCTCCCTTTATTCACAGGTCCACAGAGGCCACAGGAAGGACTGCAATTTTAGTTAACTTGGGAACAATAATATGTTGCGTAACACTTACAATTGGATGTCAAATTGAAAGAATGCTGTAAGGTAACACAACTTACAAGGTCTATTTTTATGAACCATTTACTACTTATCTAGCAAACAACGTAACTTTTAAAGCCAACTTTCTCTCCTCAGTATCTGATTTTATGATCGTTCATTCATCTTGAATGACACCAAGTCGAGTGGTGCAGTTGGTACTCTGGAGGGAAGGGATGACATTCAGAGGGACCTTGGCAGGCTTAAGGAGTGTGTCCATATGAACCTCATGAAGTTCAACAAGGCCATGTGCAAGGTTCTGCACGTGGCTCAAGACAATGACCAGTATCAGTACAGGCTGGGGGATGAGTTGATTGAGAGCAGCCCTGAAGAGACAGACTTGGGGATACTGGTGGGTAGATGAAAAATTGGACATGAGCCAGCAATGTGCGCTTGTCGCCCAGAAAGCCAACCGTGTCCTGGGCTGCATCAAGAGAAGTGTGGCCAGCAGGTCAAGGGAGGGGATTCTTCCCCTCTACTCCGTTCTCTTGAGACCCCACCTGCAGTGCTGTGTCCAGCTCTGGGGCCCGCAACATAAGAAGGACACAGACCTGCTCGAGTGAGTCCAGAGGGTCATGAAGATGATCAGGGGGCTGGTGTGCTTCCCTCATGAGGACAGGCTGAGAGAGTTGGAGTTGCTCAGCCTGAAGAAGGAAAGGCTCTGGGGAGACCTTATTGCAGTGTTTCAGTATTTAAAGGGGGCTTGTAAGAAAGATGAGGACTGACTTCTTAGTAAGGCCTGTTGCAATAGGAAAAGGGCTAATGGTTTTAATCTAAAAGAGGATAGTTTTAGACTGGACTTAAGGAAGAAATTTTTTTACAGTGAGGATGGTGAGGCACTGAAACAGATTGCCCAGAGAAGTTGTGGCTGCCCCCTTCCTGGAAGTGTTCAAGGTCAGCTTGGGTGGCACTTTGAGCGACCTGGTCTAGTGAAAGATTTTCCTGCCCATAGCAGGGGGGTTGAACTAGATGATCTTTAAAGGTCCCTTCCAATCCAAACCATTTTATGAGTCTATGATCTCTATAACAAATACTTACTCCTAGCAAGTTTATGTTGTACGGAACAGGATCATTACATGATAATGTAGGCAATCAATTAAGGAACACTTCTAAGCAGGTACATAGTTTTAATCAATAGGAGCAGACAGGGATTCTTCAGCATGACCTGCATTACTAAAATATTGATTTAAATCATTACAAACTTGAGCTATCTATCTTCCAAATCTTTTGGATGTGTACTTCTTCATTAGGACCCTGCAATGATTTTTTTCCACAGTGAAAATCAAGCGTGCCCTTGTAGTACCTTGACGGTAGAAAGTACTGTGTATCCAACCATATCTGAGAGTGAGTCTAAAGTGAAAAATGTAAAATATCTTAACCAAAGTGAAAGCTGGATAGTACCCACATAAGTGTGCTGGAGACCAAAGAAGAATCGTACTCCACCATATTTTTTCTACTCAGTTCTTTACTGGAAGTTTAGAGGGAATCACAGATTTTTACCAAGAACTCTGGAAAACACAGGTTATCACAGATGTGTGATGGAGCCCTTCAGCTGCTATGCCCTGTGCTCCCAGGGAGATGGCTCCAAGCTCCAGGAGTCTTCCATGTCCCAAGGAACATCTGCAATGGCGCTCAGTCCTACTGAAGGAAGAGAAGAAAGTTCAAGATCAGTGAAGATGTTCCTAATGTGTCCCTTGAACACATATGTGAAAGCCAGCCATGGTCTTGTCCAAATGACAACTAATGCAGAACTGAAACTTTAATCTAATTTCTCAGGAATTTAAAACTGGAACCAAAATCAAGAAAAGGTGTTTTTTTTTTTCCATATTTTTTGCTGCCCAATGATAACTATAAAGTATTTCTTTTCTTCCACAGCAAGAATGCCCCAAGAAAGTTTGTAGACAGATGCTTGGGAATTATCAACAACTTTTATCTCAGTGCATCTCAGGCAAATTGAAGTACTTACACATGAATCAAATTCTGTTCTCAAGTACACACATGCAAGTCACATTAGAACTGTGTAAATACACCTGGAGGCCAAATTTGGCAATTGAAATACTTTTGGAAAATGGAAACTAGCTGACAAAGATAATAAAACAGAGGAAAATAATTCATTTGCAATATCAAAATACTTACTAATGTTCTAATTCCTTTTCTACTTATCAGCAAATGAAGACTAAAGCATGAGTGGAATATTCTTGCTGTTGATGGAAAGAATGACATCACCTTCTCTAGAAAAATACCCGAGCTATTTTAAAGCACTTCTATGCTTTTATCATAAAAGTTTAAATTACAGTTATTATTGGAAATGATCTGGAAAAAAGCACTTTTTAAGGCTTATCAAAAAAGATGATTGCAGCCCTGTATTCCTCTATTTTAAGAGACCAATACAGGAATCTGAGTTTTGTTATCTTTTCAATGGCCTTGCGTGGTACAGGGTGTGTAGGGGTGTGTATAAGAAATGTTTGCTCTGCTCTGGTAGGAATGCCTGACTAGGTGAAATAGGTCTTTCCCTGCAGTACATGTAGGCAGGGATAACTGAAG